CGACCTGCGGAATGCGGGGCGCTTCACCTGCAGAGGCCGCGCGGCCCACGTACTCACCAGCACTGAAGCAAAAATGGCAAATCCAGTCAAGCAGGAAGGAGACGCACGAAAAGCGCGCGCGGCCTCGCTGCGCTGCTTTTATAGCCGGTATGGTTCTCGCGAGAGTCAGAGCGGGTCGGGGTGCGGGAGGGGGAGAGGGGAGGGGGATCTGGCCGGAGCCCAGTCCGGATCCAACGCTCCCAGCCGGAATGACTCAGCGCTTTCCCTAGGGGCGGACTCGGTGCCCAAAGTACCAATCCCCCATACCTGCCGCCCGTGGTTGGTGGGGAGGGGAGGTAAGGGGAAGCATGCCTTGCGCTCAAAACCCAAACCTGGATAGAGGGTCTCGCTGCTGCACCACATTTAACCGCTACGAGCCCTGCGAGCTATCCAAATGTTCCCCTCGGGCCCCCACATCCTCTGCCTTAGTGTTGATCCTCGGTACCCCTCAGTGCTTAGCCTGCTTCGTTGTTCTAATTACAAGATTGCTGCTTCCCTCTCCACCCATCCCTTCCACTACGTCTGGAGGGAATATTTTTGAAATCTGACCGTATCACTGCTCTGATTTGTGGTTTAAAAAACTGGGGCAATTTCCTGAATTCAAGCATCTCACTGCCATTTTATGTGTGGCCTTTAGGCACGAGTCTTAATCCTTTAGCTTTACTTTTCTTACTTGTAAAATGGGAATACTATTCTTCATTGAGATCATCTATGTAGTTTTTTTAGCACAGTACCCAGTTCTTACTACACATTAGAAATGTTATCTATTATTACTATAACTTTAGCGTCTCGATTGTAACACCCAGAACAGTGTGTGGCTGTTTCGAGCCTTCAGGTTTTTGTTCAAGCGTGAAGAAATGTTACCACTGTTAGGGTTCTTGGATTCCCCAAGATAGAAATCAAGGGGGACCCCCAGAGAAATTTCCAGACAGATTTTTATTAAACTTAAGCTAGAGCACAAGGGAGGCAGCATAGAGGAGAGGAAGGTCCTCTGAACTAGCTAGGGGACTGGCTCTGCTTGGCTGTTTTTATAAGCTGGAGGCAAAGCGGACTTGTGTGAAAGGCGAGCTTTTTTTCGGGGGTGGGGCAGGAGACCGGGCTTGTGGAATTTTGCTTGTCAGTGTATGAGGAGCAAGTCCTTAGAAGGAAGATAAGACTTTTCCTAGGAAGAGGAGTGGTTTCATTTTTGTGGTAGGCTTACCAGGTGTGTGTTTTCTGGCCTTTTGACTCTGGGATCCCCTGCCAGGGACAGGAGTAGCATCAGCTCTGTGGTTTTTCTTACCCGGTGTCCTTGGGATCCTGGCCCAGGTCCCTGTGCTATCACAGAAACTGTTCCCTCCTAGGTGACCTAAAGTCTTTATAGATGCAGCTGAAGCATTGCTTACTTGAAACGGTTCTTGGCCTTGGCTCATCCCCAGAATTCCTCTGAAGTTGTTCTGAATTTTGCTCATCCCCAGCATTGACCATTCTTGCCTTTGTATCCAAACAATAGCCTGTAGAGCCAAAAAAAAAAAAAAAATTAAGCTATTTTACTTGTTTACATGTCTGCCTCTCCTTGCTAGGCTGATTTTCCTGTCATCTCTATGCCCCCAGGTGACAACAGAGCACCTGATGTTAAAATAGGAGCATTGAATAAATAGTGTTATGTCCCCAGCTCTGCCTCCACCCCCCACAATTCCTTTGGACCTTACAGCAGCTTAGGAAATGGAGAAGTGCTATGTCATGATGACTGAGCATCTCAATTCTTTTTTAATATTTATCATCCTACCTTGCAATAGTAGTGATTTTTTTATTTGTTTTTCCTTCCCTGCCTGAGGTTGAACAGTTATTTGGCCATTATTCATTTCCTTCTTGAGGAGGCAGGAGAGACCTAGATTTCAGAGCTTAACTATAGATGATTAATGGTCCGAGCAGATTAATCCAACAACACACTGTCCTACTTCAACCAAAAGAAAATTACCATTTATTGTATCTCCCATGTGCCAGGTCCTGAACTGGGCACTTGGGCTTGCTTCATTTAAGAACCACAAGAGTTACCATGGCCCAGGGAAATGGCAACAACCTATCCCCATGGGAATATAAAAAAAAAAAAAAAATTAAACAGCAGAACAGAGTTCTAAAAAGAGAAATCTGTTAAATATTTTTTGTTTAATTAAATGATTGCGGAGTCTTTCCTCAGAAAGCAGTAACAATTTCAGAAATGAGGGGTTTCTTCCTTTATTCTTCTGTAGGGCTTGGTATAAATCTCTCTCCATTTTTACAAAAATGCCATTGTTTTATCCTCATTTGTTCAGCAGTAGCCTAGGAAGGATATTACCTCTTTTATTTATCTTTATAGTACCAGAACCTAAAGAAAACAATTGGAAGGCCACTTCAATAGTCCAGACAAGAGAATTCTCAGGACTGTCATATGACATTGACAGCAGGATGGGAAGAAGGAAAGAAAGAATATTTCTATAGGCCTTGGGATTCATTGGACTTAGGGTAAGAAGAAAGAGGAAGTTTAGTCTAATTTTTTGGTGACAGAGTGATGTCGCTAACCAGAGGCATAGGAAACTGGAGGACAAGCAAGTTTGAGGTTAAAGATAATAACAAACATTTATTGAATACTATGTATTCTATAGCTGAGGCATCTGATGACCAAAGAATTTAAATAAATTGTCCCAGGTCAGAGCTAACAGGTATTGGAGCCTATTGCCGGCCCAGGCAGCAGAGCCATCATGTTGCACAATATGTAATGTGATATTATAGAGGCTATATTATGAATGGTGCCCCATGGAGTGAAGTTGTGTGCCTTACAGTGTTATGGCCAGGTTGTATAACTCTGGAGTCCACCCTATTATTGATTTCTCTTTTAAAGGAGAAGATAATCAGTTTGGTTTGAGGCAAACAACATTGAAATATCCTCAAGACATCCAGGTGGAAATGTTCAGAGGTCACTGCTGGAGATGTACATTTAGAATCAGCAGCACAGCGGTTTAATTACATTTACCGGAGTCCTATTCTCTGCTAGGTACCAGACATGCAAGACAAATGAGACAGCATCTATTGAGGTGTTTTGAATAATCATTAAATGGGTGAATTGGATGAAGAGTGGTGAAATTCACAGAAACGCAGTGAAACAGATTTTGGAGCAGATTATTAAGAGCCCGCTTTGAGGCATGTCGAATTTGGGATTCCAGGGGAAGATGGCTAAGAGGAAGTTGGAAATGTGTAAACTTGAGGGTAAGCTTTTGGGATATCTGCCTTGTTCATCATGATATTGAGACAGGCCAGAAAGCCAGGACAAGTGGAATAGAGAAACTGAGACAGATAGCTGAACAAACGGACAGAGCAATTCACAGCACACAGAGAAGGTCACCTCCCTAGAAATAACATCCAGGCCACAAGTTGTATTTCAGCTCCAGATCCAGAAAAACAGCAAAACCAGGTGGGCAGCACCAGGACCAGCTGAAATGACTAAGTACCCTGTGCCCTGACACTGACCAATCAGTGGAGACCAGGATCTTGACGGAGCATACTTAGAAAACTGACTAATATTCTGCTAAAACCCTTCCCTGAGACTTCCCCTAAGATTCCCGCCTGCCTGCAAGAGGGAGATAAAAGCCTCAAGACAAAGGACCCACCTACCTCTCTCCCTCCAGGGGGCATGCCTACACCTCCCACCCCACCCCCTTCTTCCCTCACAGGCATGCATCTCCTAAACTCTAAGGGACCCCATGAGGCTTGCAACTAGGGCAGCAATGGGCAGCAGCAGTTGGTCCCAGGCAAACCCTCTGAACCTGTCCCCAACACCCTCTTTTCTTAATTTTTTTTTAAATTTCAAATAAAGGAAGGAGAGGGAGGGAGAGAGGGAGAGGTAGAAATATGAATGATGAAAATCATTCCACTACCTCCCACAAGCCCCCCACTGGGGAGAGAACCCACAACCCCAGCATGTTTACTGACCTGGAATCTGGCCTTCACTTAACAAAGCAGTAGTTAAATCACTGCACTGAGTTGCTGTAGTAGACAGTTAACTGACTCATCAACAGCCATTTCCCCTCTTGATAGCTAACTAGATACAACAGGTAAGGCAATTAAATATGAGTTTAAAGCAGAAGTCCTAAAACAGTAATCATTGTAACATTAGGATTTGCTAACCACAACTTGTGTATACTTACAAACCATTAGAGTTAAACCTGTAAACCGTTAAAGTTAAACCTATAAACCATTAAAGCTAATTGCTTTCCTATAATTGTAACAACAAAATTACAGGACAGAAGTCAGTATGAGAACATCCAGATGATTCAGAATATGTTTATGTTAAATTTTTGGAGGAGTGTCTATTCAGGTCCTCTGCACATTTTTAAAAATATGTTTTTTATTTATTTAGAGAGAGGGGAAGGGAGAGGGAGAGAGATAGAAACATCAATGAGAGAGAAACATCAACATCCATCAGCTGCCTCTTGCATGCCTCCTGCTGAGAATCGATCCTGCAATCCCAACCCGGGCATGTGCCCTTGACTGGAATTAAACCTGGGACCCTTCAGTCAGTAGGCTGACACTCTATCCACTGAGCCAAACCAGCTAGGGCGATGTGACCTCTTGGTGCATGCCTCGAGCTCAACCACTGAGCCACACTGACAAGGCTAATTTTTTAAATTATTACAGAAAGAAAATATTACATTTAACAGTTCTCAAAGAACACTTGAGTCCTTGCATTTACAATAATTTAATTTATAAAATTACATTTGGGACACAACAGATACCATTTTGAGAAATACTATTATCAAGGATAATATGGTTGTTAGAGTTTAATACAGCTGCAAAAAACAGATTAAACTCAGCCGAAACCGGTTTGGCTCAGTGGGTAGAGCGTCGGCCTGCGGACTGAAAGGTCCCAGGTTCGATTCCGGTCAAGGGCATGTACCTGGGTTGCAGGCACATCCCCAGTGGGAGATGTGCAGGAGGCAGCTGGTTGATGTTTCTCTCTCATCAATGTTTCTAACTCTCTATCTCTCTCCCTTCCTCTCTGTAAAAAATCAATAAAAAATATATATTAAAAAAAAAACAGATTAAATTCAAATAACAAGCTTAACCAAATAAGGGATTAATTTTGTCCTATTTAACAAGTGGACAG